AGAAATCTGGAACTAATGTTTGCACAGGTATAATATATAGATAATCAAGAAATTCAGTTATGTTAATGGTTTCCATGGTAATTAAAAGTTTTTACAGGTCTGCAAACAAGTTGTTACAAACCTGTTCACAAGTTGTCGACAAGTTGTGTTCGCACTGCTTGTTCCCAGTTGTTGTAACAAGTTTGGAACAAGCTGTCAATAACTTGCAACAAGCTTGATGGCATTATCAGACTTGTTACAAGGTTGGTCTAACAAGTCTGATACAGTCATGATATGACAAGAATGTTGCAAGGCTGACGACACAAGGTTCTAACAGTATTGTTATATCATGACTGTATCAGTATTGTTATATCATGACTGTATCGGACTTGTTGGAACAACCTTGCAACAAGTCTGATAATATCAACAAGGTTGTTACAAGTTGTTAACAGCTTGTTCCAAACTTGTTGACAACTTGGGAAAAGCATTGCGAACACAACTTATTGACGGCTTGTTGACAGACTTGTTACAAGATGTGAGATTTTTACGCGTGTATATATATATCTTAATTCTGCTTACTTCCTTCACAGACATGAATGAATGTAAACAAAAAAATATTTGCTCCAAACAAGCTTGGTGTGTCAACAAGATCGGTTCATATCGATGTATATGCAAGAAAGGTTACACTGGAAACGGGAAAGTTTGCGAAGGCAAGTGGAAGTTTACGTATTCTTTCAAAACTCCCAATAACAATATAGAGTTCACTATAAAAAAAAACAACTATCGCTTCTAAGCTATTCTCCCCGGACCTCAAAGGCGTAGTAAGCAATACCCGAGTGTTTCTGCAAAAGAAACACAAACGAGTGTTTCTGCAAAAGAAACACAATTCAGTCTAATCTCTGGCTAACCTATCCTTACCTAAGCCTAATAGTGAATTTTTAAAGAAAATTTTTCGATATAGTAGTGCCATGCAATGGAATCATCTTAGCTTTCTGAGGATTCAAAAAATACGGAAAAATACGTCAGGCATTAACACCTCCTTTGCATCGCACCAATTGTTAAGTTTTTATATAATTCCTTTTCTATCATAATCCTTTGCTCCCTTGTTTTTCTATATAGTTTAACTTGTATATAGTTTAATGTGTATATTCTTTAATTTGTAAATAGTTATTGTGTGACGCCCCTCATGAAAAGCAACTCACGTTAATCGAGGCTAGCGTGTTTAAATAAAGTTTTACCATACCACCCAAGTAGAAGAATGTTACTCACATACAATTCTTTAGACGAGAATAATAATTTCCTTCCATCCATCCACGACGTCATATTCCATCATAATACACTATCTAGAAAACGATAGTTGTAATTAGTTCTGAATGTGAATTTCCTCTTTAGACGTAGACGAATGTGCAACAGGAAAACACAAGTGCCCAGATGAAACAGTCTGTGTGAATTCAGTGGGAGGATACGAGTGTGTCTGCAAGCCTGGGTACAACGTCAAAGAGGTTGGGGATGGAACTGCAGTTTGTGTTAAAAAAGGTATTGTTTTTCATTTTATTTTCATGCCGCAACTAGTGGATTGATCCCCCCATTTGCCACCAGAAATTAACAATGCCAAACATTTCTCATTTCACTATGTATTTAGGTGAAATAATGATTATATATTACACACAACAGTAGCTAGTATTTTATCTTTCCTTCTCTAATGTTAAACCATGTTTACACTATCAAAGTTAAGTGATCCAGTAGGAATTTTGCATAGGTAAATTCCAAGTTTTGAAGGATTTGTAAGAAATGTTTGAGGGAACGACTCAGTGTTAAACAATGAATCAGTTTCCTCAAACACGTCTTACAAATCCTTCAAAACTTAGAATTTACCTATGCAAAATTCCTACTGTGATCACAGAAACTTTGAGAGTGTAAACCTGAGCCTTTACACTAATGCAATTTTTCTGTTGTTCAGAGGAGAAAACGTTACTGCAAAATAAGATTATTTTCTACGCTGGAGCAGGAGCTATCGTGCTTCTCATATTTACAATATGTTGTTGCTGTTGTTGTTGCTGTAGAAGGTATTGTAGAATGCAATTCAGTTCCAGTACCGTACGCAACGTGGGGG